CCCAGAATCTCTCTTTTGTAATGTGTTTAATCTCCTTTGCCAAAATTTTTGAAATAGAGAGATATCGGTATGTACCATATACCTCTACTAATTAAATGAATAATAAATATGAGTCTGGATATTTAAATTACTGGACTTGTAATAGATTGTTTCTATAATTAAAAAGAAGATAATAGGCCAGACAAATGCAGGTGCTTTTAATTAAGAACTTTAAGCAAGTAACCAGCTTTGGGCACTCAGGTTTGTAATTGCTCCTGGATTCAGTATTTAGAAAGCTGGCCACATATTGGGTGGCCAGAAAAGTCGTGATGTATTTTTCTATGCTTTTCTCTGTAAAAAGGCATCATGACTTCCAATGATTCAATATTTAGGGCCAGGTCTAGTGCTGCAGAGGTGAAAAGACTAAGCTCCCTCTCCTAAAGCTCTTCCCTCCCTTTGGGTGAGGTGGAACTGGCACACCTGTCACTCAGCGTGGCAAGTGCTACAAGGCCAGAGGCGGGGGTGGGAGGGGCTGCGGCAGAGCCTTGAGCTGATCCAAATCTCTCACCAGTAGATGAGCAAGGTCTTTGAGTTCCTGGAATTCCAAATGCATCTTCTCTGCTAGCGCCCATGAACTTTATTTACATCAATAATTCCCACCTGGAGCAATTTTGTTGCCCTCCCCACAATCCCCAGAGACATTAGGCTGGAGAGATTTTGGGCTGGTACAACTGAGGGGATGCTACTGGCGTCTGGTAGGTTGGGTTCAGGTTTGCTGCTAGACATCCTGCAAGGTACAGGACAGCAGAACGAAAAATGATCCGGCTCCGTGTATCAATAGTGATGAGGCGAGAGGCCTACTATAGCTGACCTGTGGCTAAACTGTTGCCCATCGAAGAAGGCAAGTAATGACAAATGTGTATGGACACTGCTGCCCTCCAGTGACCTCACTGGGCTTGGGGGCTATGTCTGTTTACTACCTCTGTTTAGCCTCAGAGCCCGGCCCAGCCCTTTTGTGGAATGAATGAATGCATAAACAGATGGATGTAAGGTCAGCTAGAGCAGGCTCCCCGAGTCTCAGCCAGACTAGGGTGGTAGAAGCCGTAGCGAGCACATGCCCATGGGATGGGGCTGCTATTACCCATCCCTGCAACTGCTGCTGTGTGCAAGTGCAGGCCCAGCATTAACAGCTGGTCCACATTTTCAGAAGAATCTGGAAATCTGGATCGTATAAAGAAACCACCCGATTTCTAAATAGTGATGACTAATTAACACTTGAAAAGCGAAATACAAGAAAGAATAACTGTACAGGAGAGCACAGTGGATCCAAACAAACAGGCCTGCAGCCCCTGCCCTCAGTGACTTCTGATCAGTCTAAACTCCCCCATGACAGACACCAGGCCACCTCTGCCCGGGATCTGAGAACTGATTCCTTGGCACACTTGAACACACACAATGAATGGATGCTGCAGACAAGCCTGCACGACAGATCTGAGGTACAGTCTGACAAGCTACTTCCGGTGGCTCACTTGTGGGTGGAAAATTCTTTGAGGCTGAAAACGCACTATCCTTAGCCTCACGAGTTCTCAAAAATCAGGAAATTCCAAAGGCAAGGTTCCTTTTGCAATAATCACACATGCTGTTTCCTTGGTTTGGGTACACACAAGCTTTCTTTCCATTTTGTTCAGGGCATACCAGAAAGTCCACAGGATGTGAAACGGCCTGCAGACCACTACTCCTTAGTACTCCAACCAAGCATTTCCTCACCCCTGGACAGCTGTCTCACTCCTATTTCTCATGCTCAGTTCAGTATTTAGGTTGCTCTGGTTTATTTTGAAAGTTGGTGCAAAATATAGTTGAAGGCTTATTTATAAGAAAGAAAAATACTGTCAAGAATTTAAACTATGAATTTAGATTCAAGGATATGAAGGTAAGGATACAGAAACTCAAGAATGTACCAGGAAATAAATGTTTCTTCTCTAGGCAGTTGGGTTTTCAGACATCCATCTGCTGCCCGTTTGTGTCATCTCTTCCCAGAGAACAGGTGGAGAGAGAGGAGGGAGCACCTTCTTATTGGAGCTAACTCCTGCCCACAGCCCCAGCTCCAGGTATAAACGCTGAGTCCCACCTTGATACCCCCTACCCTGACTTCCCGTGGTGAGAGGGCTGAACCCTCCTCTATCTCTCAACTTAGTAAGCCTCTCCCAGCTGCAAATGGTCATTTGAAGGCAGTTTCAAGGCCCTCCTTCCAAGCACTCTTGTTTCTCTCCTTCTTTCCATCTTTACATTCACTGGACATGACAACTGTTGCTATCTTATCCATCCCATAAATTTTTTTGACTTTCCACTAAAAAGCCCTTTAAGTCTGGATAATGCCTTATACTTCTCAGTGGCTTCTATGTATTTTGGCATACAGCAATCAATAAATATCTTTAGCTGATTGGTAGGATTATAGCCATAGTATTTAAAATCTAAGACAATGAAATCTTGTTCCTAAAAATATTTTACTAGACATTCTTAGTTCTCCAAGTTAGCCCCTGAACAAGAATTAGAACTGTCTCATCCTGAGTTTTGTTTTGTTGTTGATCTTCTAGGTATTTTATAAAAATTTGCTAGAGAGTACATGCACTTGCCAAAGAGAGACAGAGACAGAAAGAGAGTACAAAAGCAAGAAAGCCTCCCCCCACCCCCATGAGGCATGGTCATGCTGCAATCTCTTCTCGGCTATTTCACTCTCCTTTAGAGATTTTGGGCATGCACACACATATGCCTGGAGTGTTTTTTTTTTTTTTCTTTTCTTTTTAAGGTGTTTTGCTACATGTGCTTGCTAGACAGAGAAAGAGAGAAACAGAAAGAGACAGAAAGAGAGAAATTACCCCTCAGGGATGATTTAGAAACTCAGAAATACATCAAATGGAAAGCAAAATTGTCCCATGCTTCAGTCCCTCAACCATCTCTTGCACAACTAACTACTGTTTGGTTTAATGGTTAAAACTGTACAGTGTTTGGTCGGGGAAGTGTTTTCCAAGTGGGGTGGGTGCTATTCACCATAGAGAGGGGGAGAGAAATGAGATTGGGGGCCCCACCACAATGTTTCCAAAATGAAACCACATAGAGTGATGTTTTCCAAGCAAGATGAAGTTTTCCTCACATGTGAATAGTTCAGTCCTTGGTGAGTCTTTGTCCTGCCTTTCCTTCCCTATGACCAGGGGCTGCTTCCTTGACCTGAATCAGGAATGCAGCACATTATATAGAATGATTCATATCGCTATTGCTGTTTACTGGGTTTCCTGTCCTTTGTTTTAAAAAGAAAAACAAGCCAAGGGACACGTTAAGATAATACCTATTTCTATTCCAGTTTAGATAAATTGTTGGGCAGATTTTCCCCCTGCAGAAGAATAGGAACACAGAACTGTGCTCATAAGGAAGGTGTATGGGAAATTGACCTGGGTGGTCCTCACTCTGCCAGTGTGATCATTTATAAAGAACACCTACATGGGGCTGGCTCCATGGCCTGGTGGTTAAGGCAGCTGGATCCCACTGGCCAACTGTGTGCTGATGGCTTAAAAAAACATGCTGGAGGAACCAGCAGGTGGTGTGGTGGTAGAGGTGCTGGACTCCCACATGGCAGACCACAGTTTCAATCCTGGACCCAGCAGCTTGAAAATCACACCGGGTACGTGTGTACACATGCCCAAAATCCTGACAGGAGAATGGAGAAGAGATGGTAGCATGACTATCTCTTCCAGGGGGTGATTTCTCACTTTCCTTCTCTGCTTCTTTCCCATAAACACATGTGTCCTATGGCAAAAAGAAGACAAGTAGTGATCTGGAATAGACAGAGTTCTTAACTTGGCCCGCTCACTAACAGCCTTGCACAGAGTTCAGAAGTGAAACTCACATGATCACTTCCTTCTGTTCCTGGTGATCAAGCCAGCTGGCCCTGAACAAGAGGCACATGGCCCCATAAAGCCCCAGGGCTTGTTTCAGGTCACAGATGGAGAGCTCCAAGCCTGGTCTGGAAGGGCAAGCTCCACAGTTGGGAGCTTCTGTCGGGGCTAAGTCATGCTATGGCAGGAATACTCTCTTCCACAGCCTCCACGCATCCTGTGACTAATTGGCTGGGCCCCCTTCACGAATCACAGTCTCTGAGGGCTCAGGCTCGGGCTGCCTGGCCTTTCCCAGGAGCAGTGTCCTGAAGTGACCATCATGGTGGCAACATCTGCCTCCTCAGGGTCCCCGCCTCATCAATGACATCTCTCCAGCCTCAGCTCCTACAGCTCTCCTTACGCTGCTCCTTGAACAGACCCAGCACACCCCACTGCAAGCCTTTGCACTCGCAATGCCTCATTCCCTCACTTCTTTCTGGTCACTGCTCACATATCCTAGTGAAACACAGTGCTGTCCTTAAGCAAATGGATGTCTACTATCTAAACAAAGAGCTTGTCTAAGAGAAAGGGAACAAAACCCAAATGCAGTAATAGGTACATAAAAACAGCAGTACACACACACACACACACACACACACACACACACACACACACACACACGGGGAGGGTCTTCAAAAAGTTCATGGAAAATGTGTATTATGAAAAACCACACATGGATTTCAAAATGTTTTTGCATCTAAATAAACTTGTACTTTAATTCCATATTCCATGAACGTTTTGAAGTCTCCTCACATTTATACTATAAATAGAAGTAATGGGTTACTGATAGTGGCTTCTCTTGCGTGGGACAATGGCTAAAGGATGTAATGGTGGTACGTCTTGGTCTGGATGTTGGCTGCAGTATGTATGGAATGTTCAATTTGTAAAAACTTACCAAACTATGATATATACACTCTTCTGGTTATATACATCAATAATTTTTTTTTAAAGAAGTCTTCACTAATATGGGATTTACATAGAGTCGTACACCCAATATATACCCTTACTTCAACATTTGAGAACAAAAATTTGTGTTCCAGTGAAACCCAAGCAACTGATTTGCATTTCCTCTTCTCTATGCAAAAGACTTACCATCCCACAGTTGATCTAGTCAGGATCACCTCAAACAGCAACATCGAGAAACCAGCTGTGACTACCTGCGGAAATAATTTTAACAAAAGGTCATCAGAGCAGCAGGACTCCGGGGGCCTCCAAGTCACCTGTCGCAAGACGAGTTCACATTACTTCAGATCCCTGACATTAACCATCTCTTCCTACTTCGTGGCCTTTTCTCCACACTAAAGAGGCACTAACATTTAGCGTTGCCTCTGAGCAACACACGTGGTGTGGAAAATGCAAAGTCCAATGTGTTTTGGGAGGTGGGAATCCTCAACGAAGCTTGACTTAACCTCACACTCTTCCAAAGAGGAGGCATATAGCCAACTTCTCTCTCCTCTCTCTCTAGGGAAGGGGTATATTAAGCATACTCATAGGGCCAGTTCCGTGGGGCAGTGGTAATGTGCTTTGCAAGTGAAGCTGTATCTCACATGGCAACCACAGCTGAAATCCCCAGCCTGGTTGGCATAAAACATGCCATGTAAGCACATGAATCCCCAAGATCTGATGGGCTGCAGGACAGGAGGGAGAGGATCATGGCATGACTGGATGCTAAGGAAAATGCTCCTTTCTTTCTCTCTCTGTCACTTAATGATATATCATACTCACACACTTTATCATGAATAAAGGGAAAAAAGGGATATTCATTGCCATCTTGTGTCACTGGTGTGGAACTTATCTCCAAGGTCAGGGGTGCTAGTTAAACTGTTCCCAATCCTCCAGACAAAAGTCGGCCTGCCTTTGTCCACAGCACCCCTCCCTCCTCTCCTAATGACCCCATCATTCTGGCCATGACACATATTCTAAGAGGGCAGGTGTTTCCTGGGAAAGAGACCAGTTAAATACTTCATTAATTATTTCTGAATATCTAAGAGAAATACAAAGGAGTGAGATAAGACGACTCTAGCACCTCTCAAAGACAGAAATTCTAGAAAATCTGTTAGGAGTGGCAATCATGGGGCTTGGACTCCAGAGGTGCGCCCAAACAGCTGGCACAAGAGTCTGTGCGTGAACCAATGGCCTGACTTTTTCCACTCTTGGAATGTCTGCACAAAGAATAGATGTTTCTAGGGACCAGCAGATAGCGTAATGGCCATGTTGCTGGACTCCACGTAGTCGACCACGATTCAAGTCCTGGACCTGGTGGCATAAACTCATGCTGGGCACATGTGTGTGCGTGCCCAGGATCCCGAGAAGAGAATGGAGGAGAAGGGACTGCGGTATGGTCATCCCCTCGGGGGTGATTTCTCATTTTCTGTCTCTCTCTTTCTGGTGAGGGCACATGGCCTATAGCAAAAAAACAAAACAAAACAAAAACAACAACAACAACAAAAAACCCCTCTCTCTCAAAAAAAAGAATAGATGTTTCTCGTTTCCAGGAGTCTACATTCTGCAGCTCAAAACAGCTTTCAGAAGGAAGGTTACCTAAAGGATCTGCTTTCTTTCAGCTTTCTTCCTTTTTGCCAGAGGTCACATACGATTGTCCGATAGAGATAGAAGGAAAGAACCCTCTAACAGGTCTTGGTCAGGTCACTGTCTTTTTTCACCTCCATTTCTCCACCCTATCAGCACTTTGAGCACACATGCACATGTGACTGGCATGTTTTTTAAGCCTCTGGGGGCAAGATTTGACCCATCATCAGCCATGGGGGATCCAGCTTTCTATGCACAGTGCTTAACCACTGCACTACAGGCCTGACGAAGGACCTGCTTATTTGCAATAAGTGGGAAGCAGGCCATGCTGGGATTGGGGTCACCTTTCCCAGGTGGGTCCAGTACATTACTATGACCATTCTCAGAGGCAGATGCTGGGCAGTGGCCAGCCTGGCTTACCACCGAGTGCATCACTCCCACATACTACCCTCACCACGTGTGAGGTTCAAATTCATGCCTCAGCAAAGTGAGAGGTTTCTGTACACCATGGGCCTTCAGAACTACTCAAGAATGCTTAAAAGTGTGAATGTAACATCTGTTCAGGTCAAGGGTCTGAGAAGGAAATGGAAGGCAAGAGTGGCTGAATGTGGCACGTCTGGGTACAGAATCCCCCATGAGTGGTCATCTATGGGCAGAACCGGAGTGCTGGAAGGGACTGTCTTGGCTCACAGCTAGGGAATCTGTGACTCGGATGTGGTGTGTGGCTTTCTCCAGGGACTCAGCCAGGTCATGGTAGTGAGGAGTAGAAGTAAGGCCTTGACTTCTTTCACTGCCAGAAACCCAAGGAAGGCCCATGCAAGATCCACGCAGCTTAAAAAAACCTCACTGAAGGCAGGGAATCAGGTATTTGTACATCCATATTCTTAGCACTATTCACAACAGCTAAAGTTGGAAGCTACCCAAGTGTCCATTGAGTGATGAGAGTATGAATGAAATGTGGTACATACGAACAATGAGATTATTCTGCCTTCAAAAGCAAGCTCTGGTCCATGCTCCAACATGAATAATAAACCTTGTGCTAAGTGAAATAAGGCTGACACAGAAAGATAGTTACTATATGAGTTTACCTAGAGTTATCAAACCCACAGACACAAAGAAGGCGGCTTGCCATGTTCTGGAAGGATCAAGGAATGGATAGTTAGTGTTTAAATGGTATACGGTTGAGGCCCGCAGGTGGTGTGGTGGTTAAAGGTGCTGCACTCTTACATGGCTGACCGCAGTTCAAGTCCTGGACCTGGCAGCTTGCTTTGTCTCTCTCTCTCTCTGTGTCTTGCTTTGGTCAATTTAAAAAATAACAATAATGATAAATAAAATAAAGGAAATACTAATAAATAAATGGTAAAAGGTTTCTGTTTGGCAAGAAGAAGAGTTTATGTAGATGGACAGCAGTGATGGTTGCACAACAATGCCAATGTACTTAATGCCACTAAATGGTCCACTTAAAAATTATTAAAACCGTAAATCTTCTGTTTATTTTCATTTACATCCACTTCCATGTCCACCCTTTTTCTTTCTCTCTGCCTGGTTAATTAATTAATTCACTTCTTTAATCTCTCTCTCTCTCTCTCTCTCTCTCTCTCACACACACACACACACACTCGTCACAGGCATCCCTATCAGGGTCTTCAATCTATTCTCAGCCTCAGCCAGTCAGGATAGTTGACACACATGTGGATGGCTGGTGTGTTCAGGGAAACCTCAAGATGAGAACCCACGACCTTACCATATGATTTCAGCATCATGGGGCATTGCATTACCACTGCACGCCCACAGCTGGCCTGCCTGATGTCTTAATTCTTATCTCTTCTTACCAACTTTACCTGACTAAACCTTGAAGGCCTGGTAAGATTCCTTTGAACTGATGGCTCCTTGGGAAACCTCTCTGAGTAAACCTGTGGCTTGACCTGTTCTCGCCAGTGACTGGTTTCTACCTGCATGGCAGCCCCTCTAGCTGCTAACTGTATTTTGTAAACACTGATCTGTCTACAATTCTACCACTTCTCTCTAAATTGTAAGCTCCTAAGGCTAAAGGCTTAGAAGCCACCACAGCTCCAAGCTCAGGGCTGTAAGAGCCTGGTTCAGTGGGTACTTGACAAAGGCTGGGAAGCACTAAAGCTATGGATTCTCTCTGCAGAGTACAAGAACACATGGCAGGTGTGGTGCCACTTTTCTTTTGCTCATTTGGAGGATAACTCTGAGGAGAGCTTCTTTATGTGCTTGAAATTTCAAAATCTGCCCTGAAACATAGTACTGACATATATTTACAGCACAAAAACAAATCTCTTATCATTAAGCATAAAACAAGTGCTTCAAAACAAAAGGGTAAACTAGGAAAAGAACATTTTTAGGGATTCTGGCATAACTTTGAGGCTTAGAAAGGAATGCACTGGTGTGTGTGTGTGTGTGTGTGTGTGTGTGTGTGTGTGTGTGTAGATGAAAAAAAGGAATTTTAATCCCTAACTTCCAGAGCCTTAATGTCAAGGTAACCAAATGTACAACTGATCACAGACCAGTAATTCTAGCAAGAACGTGCAGGCATAAAATCTATCCCAGCTTTAAAAAAAAATTTTTTTTAGAGAGAAACTTTTGCTATAGATTATGTGTACTCACCAGAGAGAGACAAAGACAGAAAGCAAGAAACCACCCCTGGGGAGTGACCATGCTGCAATCCTCTTTCCTCCATTCTCCTTTCAGGACCTTGGGCATTCGTGCACATGTGCCAGGCATGAGGTTTAAGCCACCAGGTCTTGGACTCGAACTGCAGACGACTATGTGGGAGTCCGATGACGTAACCATTATGCCATCTGCTAGGCCTTCTATCCCAGCTTTTATATCTCTGCCTAGCCCTCAAAAATCATCATGACCACCTCCACCATCGATTGTAGGAATGCATTGATTTTGACATTTGCTTGTACCAGGGGCTTCCTGAGTGATCCTGGTAAGACCAAGAGACAGTGGCCTCAGGTATTCGCACTGAGGTGGGAACCCAGAAGCAGCCTCTCCCTTCCCACTCCTCTCACTGCACCCCTAATATCCAGGCCATACAGTGGGCCTTTGCTTTGCTCTGACTCTAGAGTTGAATCAGTTTTCCTCTTAGTGCTCCACATGAAACTCTGGTCTCTAATGCAGGAAGGGAGCTTTCCAGCCTGTCTGGCTCTGGCTAGTCTTTGGTCTCATGACTAGAGTCTTGATTTATACTCCAGAATCCAAGTCCTGATCTTCCAGAAGGGCGCTACCTGAGTTCTGACCACTGTCTGGATTTCTGACCCAGTGATCCTCCTGCAACTTTCAGAGCTGACATTAATAAACTATTATGCCCCGATGGGCACTAGCATGGCCCTCTCAACTGTACCTCCAGGACCAGCCTCCACATGAATAGCCTCAGGCTTGCACACACCCTGGGAGAGAATCAAGCCATCTCTCCTCTTTTCTTGCCTTGGGCTTCGGAAAAGAGAGCAAAGGTCTTCCTATTCCAATGCTTTGCTGTGATGCCACTTGCTCTGCCATTGATCTCCTGCTGCATCAAGAAATCTTTTCATCCAAACAACAGAAATCAATCCCAGTGATCCCATTACTATGGGATCAAAATCAAGCTCCCAACATTTCA